AGGACTTTTGCAGGGCGCCAAGGGGATCCCGGCAAATTTCGACCTGCCAAGTTGTTCCTACCTGTTCCCATTTTGTGCGGTACTTGAAGAACTTTTCCAGGGTGCCAAGGGGATCCCGGCAAATTTCGACCCGCAAAGTTGTTCCTACCCGTTCCCGTTTTGTGTGTTATTTGCGGGACTTTTGCAGGGCGCCAAGGGGATCCCGGCAAATTTCGACCCGCCAAGTTGTTCCTACCCGTTCCCGTTTTGTGTGGCATTTGCAGGACTTTTTCAGGGTGCCAAGGGGATCCCGGCAAATTTCGACCCGCAAAGTTGTTCCTACCCGTTCCCGTTTTGTGTGATATTTGCGGGACTTTTGCAGGGCGCCAAGGGGATCCCGGCAAATTTCGACCCGCAAAGTTGTTCCTACCCGTTCCCGTGTTGTGTGGTATTTGCGGGACTTTTGCAGGGTGCCAAGGGGATCCCGGCAAATTTCGACCCGCAAAGTTGTTCCTACCCGTTCCCGTTTCGTGTGGTATTTGTAGGACTTTTGCAGGGTGCCAAGGGGATCCCGGCAAATTTCGACCCGCAAAGTTATTCCTACCCGTTCCCGTTTTGTGTGGTATTTGCGGGACTTTTGCAGGGCGCCAAGGGGATCCCGGCAAATTTCGACCCGCCAAGGTGTTCCTACCCATTCCCGTTTTGTGTGGTATTTGCGGGACTTTTGCAGGGTGCCAAGGGGATCCCGGCAAATTTCGACCCGCAAATGTTGTTCCTACCCGTTCCCGTTTTGCGTGGTATTTGCGGGACTTTTCCAGGGTGCCAAGGGGATCCCGGCAAATTTCGACCCGCAAAGTTGTTCCTACCCGTTCCCGTTTTGTGTGGTATTTGCGGGACTTTTGCAGGGTGCCAAGGGGATCCCGGCAAATTTCGACCCGCAAAGTTGTTCCTACCCGTTCCCGTTTTGTGCGGTATTTGCGGGACTTTTGCAGGGTGCCAAGGGGATTCCGGCAAATTTTGAATTTTGGGGGCCCCAGGCCGGCGCGAACCCCCCTTCCTCCCAAACTGGTCTCCCCGGGCCCCCCCCAAACTATTCGAACTATTCGAACTATTCGAAACTATTCGAACTATTCGAACCCCCCTGGTTCGAATAGTTCGAATAGTTCGAATAGTTTGGGGCACCAGCCCTCGCCCCCAAACTATTCGAACTATTCGAACCCCCCTGGTTCGAATAGTTCGAATAGTTCGAATAGTTTGGGGCACCAGCCCTCGCGCCCAAACTATTCGAACTATTCGAACCCCCCTGGTTCGAATAGTACGAATAGTTTCGAATAGTTCGAATAGTTCGAATAGTTTGGGAGCCCGGCCTGGGGCCCCCACACTATTCGAACTATTCGAACCCCCCTTCCTCCCAAACTGGTCCCCCCGGGGACCCCCCAAACTATTCGAACTATTCGAACTATTCGAAGCTATTCGAACTATTCGAACCCCCCTGGTTCGAATAGTTCGAATAGTTCGAATAGTTTGGGGCACCAGCCCTCGCGCCCAAACTATTCGAACTATTCGAACCCCCCTGGTTCGAATAGTTCGAATAGTTTCGAATAGTTCGAATAGTTTAGGGGGCCCGGCCTGGGGCCCCCACACTATTCGAACTATTCGAACCCCCCTTCCTCCCAAACTGGTCCCCCCGGGGACCCCCCAAACTATTCGAACTATTCGAAACTATTCGAACTATTCGAACCCCCCTGGTTCGAATAGTTCGAATAGTTCGAATAGTTTGGGGCACCAGCCCTCGCGCCCAAACTATTCGAACTATTCGAACCCCCCTGGTTCGAATAGTTCGAATAGTTTCGAATAGTTCGAATAGTTCGAATAGTTTGGGGGCCCGGCCTGGGGCCCCCACACTATTCGAACTATTCGAACCCCCTTCCTCCCAAACTGGTCTCCCCGGGGACCCCCCAAACTATTCGAACTATTCGAACTATTCGAAACTATTCGAACTATTCGAACCCCCCTGGTTCGAATAGTTCGAATAGTTCGAATAGTTTGGGGCACCAGCCCTCGCGCCCAAACTATTCGAACTATTCGAACTATTCGAACCAGGGGGGTTCGAATAGTTCGAATAGTTTCGAATAGTTCGAATAGTTCGAATAGTTTGGGGGCCCGGCCTGGGGCCCCCACACTATTCGAACTATTCGAACCCCCTTCCTCCCAAACTGGTCTCCCCGGGCACGCCCCAAACTATTCGAACTATTCGAAACTATTCGAACTATTCGAACCCCCCTGGTTCGAATAGTTCGAATAGTTCGAATAGTTTGGGGCACCAGCCCTCGCGCCCAAACTATTCGAACTATTCGAACCCCCCTGGTTCGAATAGTTCGAATAGTTCGAATAGTTTAGGGCACCAGGCCGGGCCCCCAAACTATTCGAACTATTCGAACCCCTCTGGTTCGAATAGTTCGAATAGTTTCGAATAGTTCGAATAGTTCGAATAGTTTGGGGGCCCCAGGCCGGGCCCCCAAACTATTCGAACCCATCTGGTTCGAATAGTTCGAATAGTTTGGGGCACCAGGCCATGCCCCCAAACTATTCGAACTATTCGAACCCCTCTGGTTCGAATAGTTCGAATAGTTTAGAATAGTTCGAATAGTTCGAATAGTTTGGGGACCCCAGGCCGGGCCCCCAAACCATTCAAACTATTCGAACCCCCGTTTGAAAGTTCAGAAAAGACGCATGGTCACATAATACAGGAAGGTTCCTCGTACATATATATATATGTATATATATATACATATACATATATATATATATACATATATATGTGGATACATATGTATATATATATATATACATGTACATATACATATACATATGTATATACATATATATATATATGTACATGTATGTTTGTATGTATGTATGTATGTATGTATGTATGTATGTATGTGTGTATGTATGTATGTATGTATGTATGTACGTATGTATGTATGTATGTATGTATGTATGTATGTATGTATGTGAGTATACTAAGAGTCCCCAGATTATCAGATTCCCCCTTGGAGGACGGCAGCACGAAAATGGTCAGAGAGCAGCTGCGGCAGGAGCGCGACCAGGCTCCGCTCGGCTCAGGGCTTTGGGGGTTCAGGGTTTCCAGGGGTTTCCAGGGGTTTCCAGGGGTTTCCAGGGATTTCGGGTTTAGGGTCTGGGGTTTAGGGTTTAGGGTTTAGGGTTTAGGGTTTAGGGTTTAGGGTTTGGGCGTTTAGTTTTCTCACGGATGGGCATATTTATGTGGGCTTTTGGGGTTGAGGGTGGGGGGCTTAAGGTTTAGGGCCTGGGCCCGAACTGGGCCGAAATGTCACTAAACCCTTGGGTCACTCAAGCCACAGCACTCTGCAGCAATCTCCGAAACCCTTGCACCCTAAACCCTAATCCCTAAACACGATTTTCTAAACCCTAACCCCCCCCCCCCCCCCTTTCAAGACCCCTTTGCACCTAAACCCTAATCAAAAACACTAAATTCTAATCCCTAAGCCCAAATCCCTAGACCTTAACCCTAAACCCTAAACCCCCTCTTACACCCCTCTTCGACCCCTCTTGCGCTTTTCTGGAGCCTCCGAAGTGGCTAGTGCTAAGTGCGAGCATCCCCGGCAAACCCAGATTCGGTCATGTGTGCTAGCATTTCAAGGAGCGGGTTCGTGTTTGCAGCAAGCTCTAACCCATTGAATTTCGGGTCCTTCTACCCTACACTCTACACCATAAGCCCTCCGAAACGGGAAACAGTAGAAACCCCTAAACCCCTAAACCCCTAAACCCCTAAACCCCTAAACCCCTAAACCCCTAAACCCAAAGTCCAAAAAGGGAAAGTGCATATCAAGCCGAAGTCCTCAAATGTCCTGGGCCTTTGTTCCGCGCCACCCGCCCGAAGCCATTGAGGTTTAGGGTTTAGGGTTTAGGGTTTAGGGTTTAGGGTTTAGGGTTTAGGGTTTAGGGTTTAGGGTTTAGGGTTTAGGGTTTAATATTTAGGGTTTAGGGTTTTAGGCTGAATTAGATGCTAGAGCGAGGGGAATCAGCCAGTCCCTAAGCCCTAAACCGTAAACCCTAAACCCTAAACCCTAAACCCTAAACCCTAAACCCTAAACCCCCAACCCCCAAACCTTACCCCCCTCGATTGTTTTTTTGTGGCAGATTGCTGCAGTCGAAGTCCAGTGGCAGGCTGCCCTGTGGGGCTGCTTGCGTGTTGGGCTGAATAGGGTTGGCCAGTTCTCGAAAATTCGGGCGAGGTTTAGGGTTCATAGGGTTTAGAGCTTAGTTTAGGGTTGAGGGTTTATGCTTAGGGTTAAAATTCGGTCCCTATTTATGTGAGGGGCCGCCTTAACTCTCGTAAGCCCGAGAAGGGGACCATAGGTTCCAGAAGCGACCGGTTTAGGTTTTGGGGTTGGGGGTGTTTAGACTCAGCATCGCTAAAACCATGTCGATCCTAACCCTGGCTATCTGGACCCCGAACCCCAGGCCTCTGGTTGTTATGTTTATCGTTGTTCTTCTTACTGTTGTTACTGTTGTTATGATATTAGTATTGCGATGTTTCTGATCTTATTTACAGTAAACCCTAAACTCTGTAATGCCTAGACCTGGAAAGCAAGTTGAACCTAGTTGTGGTTAAAGGTCTGCTTTCGGGCCATTTCGGGTGCTTTACACGAGCCCCTTTTTTAGGGTTCAGGGCCTTGGCTGCTACACGAAAATTTTTTGGCATTAAAGGATTGGGTTTAGGGTGCTCGCTCGGACATATCCGGAGCTTGGGGTGGGAGAAGGCTGCTAGATCAAACTAAGAGCGTCCCATCTCCGGACTTAGAGTAGGTTTCGTTGCATGCGCCCCTCCCCGCCCCCCAAAACAAGACACGAAAGCAACAAAGACTCAGCACGACTCATGTTGTTTGAGATAGGTTTCCCATCTATCTGATGCATGGTATCCTTGCAAATATAGCGCACTTGAAAAGAAGGGCGGAAGGATCATTTGATGTCGCATGTACGACAACGATGCCTTCTACGCACACACACACACAAACACCAACCAACCAACCAACCAACCAACCAACCAACCAACCAACCAACCAACCAACCAACCAACCAACCAACCAACGACCAGTGGACAGGTGATGCAAGCGCCCAAAAATCGCAGTGGGCGCAGCAAGTTCTCACACATTGACCTATACCCGAAACCCTAACCCCTAAACTCTCAACCCTAAACCCCTAAACCCCAAAACCCTAAACCCTAAACCCAGCTTCAAAAAAAGTAAAAGCAGCTAAAGGGTGGGGATCCGTCTGCCCTTCAGATCGGCGCTATGGAGAGCAACGAAGTCATCAGCTCCGCTTTTTACCGGTTGCCATTCAAGGGTCCTTGTTGGGTTTAGGGTTTAGGGTTTAGGGTTTAGGGTTTAGGGTTTAGGGTTTAGGGTTTAGGGTTTAGGGTTTAGGGTTTAGGCTATAAGTTTAACAGTTTTTGTCATGTTAAATTCCCAGTAAGGAATAAAGATGACAATTTTAATTACCAACAAGGAAGCAGTTCTTTGGCATGCTTTTGCTACGACCATGAGTAGAACTCGGGACTAACAACCACGCATTCTCCTGTCCATGTCGTTCACAATGACAACCAACCATCACGGTTTCACTTCCCGCAAACGCGTAAAATCTTCTCGTCTGACCTGTTAAAAGGTGCTGCAAACCCTGAACCCCAAACCCTTTCTTTTCTGAGATGACCAACAACATGGAGCTGACCACGAACATTTCCCGGTTTACAATTTAGGGTTTAGGGTTTAGGGTATAGGATTTAGGGTTTAGGGTTTAGGGTTTAGGGTAATGAATGCCCTGTTGCTTGCTCGTGGTATGTCAACACTACCATTTTGCAAGAACAAAATGGAAGCCCTGAGCACGACTCTCAACACCCTAACCCTAAACCCTAACCCCTAAACCCTAAACCCTAAACCCTAAACCCTAAACCCTAAACCCTAAACCCCTTTTCGCTTATCCTGTGAGGCGAGCCAGGATGGATTGCACAGCTGGGAACGGCGGCGCGTGGCCATTGAGGCCTGTGGTATGGGTTTAGGGTTTAGGGTTTAGGGTTTAGGGTTTAGGGTTTAGGGTTTAGGGTTCAGGGTTCAGGGTTCAGGGTTTAGGGCGGGGGGGCCGAAGGAATGGAACCCCGACTCACTCAAGTTGCTCGCATCACACATCATACTGATGCCCTATATTCGGCTTAGGGGTTGGGGTATAGGGTGTAGTCGTATCAGGCCACAAGGCCTTCTCAAGGTTGGCTCAGGGCTTTTAGACCACAAGAGGCAAACGAAAAGCACCCGGGAGCCTCGAAGAAACTCCCAAAAACAGCCCCGTGTAATCACTCAAAACGAAGTTGCTCCCAGGGATACTGGTAATTCGAGTCACCCCACGTCCAAACCCCAAACCCTAAACTAAACCCGAAAACCCTGAACCCACCACCCTGCGAGGCCGAAGGTCTCAGGGAGGCGCAGCAGGTGCCTTCTTGCTGAGTCGTTTAGGGTTTAGGGTTCAGCTTCTTTCGGGTTCAGGGTCTAGGGTTAAGGGTTTAGGGTTTAGGGTTTAGGGAGCTCAAGGCCATCTTGAGGCAAAGGGCAAGTAGCCTCAGACTACGGCGGACATGCTGGCAGCATTTAGCTGGAAAGAGGTGTCACTCGAGCTTATGAGCCGGTGGCGGTGCCGCAAACACTGCAGGAGCAAGGTCATCAAACAGCCAACCAGTACCCTAAACCCTAAACCCTAAACCCTAAACCCTAAACCCCAAACCCTAAACCCTAAACCCTAAACCCTAAACCCTAAACCCTAAACCCTAAACCCTAAACCCTAAACCCTAAACCCTAAACCCGAGCTAGCAGTACCTTAACTGGGGTTACAAAGTGATTGTAACCAGAGTTGCCCGAATTATAGCACTACTGACTAAGTCCACTATGCAACTTCGATAAACCCTAAACCCTAAACCCTAAACCCTAAACCCTAAACCCTAAACCCTCCAGGTGAAGGCCAAGATTCAGGAGCTTTGGCGCGCACTGGAGGCTGGGAGACCGAAGTGCGCGGCTAGCGGGGCAGAGGGTTTAAGGTTTAGGGTTTAGGGTTTAGGGTTTAGGGTTTAGGGTTTAGGGTTTAGGGTTTAGGGGGGTCCGGGTTTTTTTTTTGCAAAGGTGTGGCTCGGCCCTGTCCCCTTGCAAAGGTGTGGCTTGGCTTGGCTTGGCTTGGCTGGGCGTGTCCTCTGACCTGGCTTGGCTTGGCTTGGCTCGGCTTGTCCTCTGGCTTGGCTTGGCTCGGCTTGGCTTTCGTTGGCTTGGCTCCTTGGCTTGGCTTGGCTCGGGTGGGCTCGGCTCGGCTTGGCTTGGCCTGGCTGGCTTGGCTTGGCTTGGCTCGGCGTGGCTTGGCTCGGCTTGGCCTGGCTTGGGTGCCGACTTCGTTTTGATTTCCCTGTTCTCCCCAGTCGCAAAGATTCTTTTTACCGCGATGTAGCTGTAGCTGGTAGAAATACGTGGAGTGTATATATGTAGTATGCGCAAGCATTGAGTTTGCAAATGGCTGCGCCCCCCCAACCCCCCCCGCTTTTTTAAGCCGTGCAAGCTTGCGTCAAAGCATATGAGTCTTGTTGAAGCCCATGATGCAAGCATTGAGTTTGCAAATGGGGGGGGGCTGCGCCCCCCCCAACCCCCCCGCTTTTTTTGAGCCGTGCAAGCTTGCGTCAAAGCATATGATTCTTGTTGAAACCCATGATGCAAGCATTGAGTTTGCAAATGGGGGGGGCTGCGCCCCCCCCAACCCCCCCGCTTTTTTTGAGCCGTGCAAGCTTGCGTCAAAGCATATGATTCTTGTTGAAACCCATGATGCAAGCATTGAGTTTGCAAATGGGGGGGCTGCGCGCGCTTTTTTAAGCCGTGCAAGCTTGCGTCAAAGCATATGAGTCTTGTTGAAACCCATGATGCAAGCATTAAGTTTGCAAATGGCCCCCCCGGTGTTGGAACCCATGATGCAAGCATTGAGTTTGCAAATGGGGGGGGCTGCGCCCCCCCCAACCCCCCCGCTTTTTTAAGCCGTGCAAGCTTGCATCAAAGCATAAGAGTCTTTTTGAAACCCATGATGCAAGCATTGAGTTTGCAAATGGGGGGGGCTGCGCCCCCCCCAACCCCCCCGCTTTTTTAAGCCGTGCAAGCTTGCGTCAAAGCATATGATTCTTGTTGAAACCCATGATGCAAGCATTGAGTTTGCAAATGGCCCCCCCGGTGTTGGAAACCCATGATGCAAGCATTGAGTTTGCAAATGGGGGGGGCTGCGCCCCCCCCAACCCCCCCGCTTTTTTAAGCCGTGCAAGCTTGCGTCAAAGCATATGAGTCTTGTTGAAACCCATGATGCAAGCATTGAGTTTGCAAATGGGGGGGGCTGCGCCCCCCCCAACCCCCCCGCTTTTTTTGAGCCGTGCAAGCTTGCGTCAAAGCATATGATTCTTGTTGAAACCCATGATGCAAGCATTGAGTTTGCAAATGGGGGGGGCTGCGCCCCCCCCAACCCCCCCGCTTTTTTTGAGCCGTGCAAGCTTGCGTCAAAGCATATGAGTCTTGTTGAAACCCATGATGCAAGCATTGAGTTTGCAAATGGGGGGGGCTGCGCCCCCCCCAACCCCCCCGCTTTTTTAAGCCGTGCAAGCTTGCGTCAAAGCATATGAGTCTTGTTGAAACCCATGATGCAAGCATTAAGTTTGCAAATGGCCCCCCCGGTGTTGGAACCCATGATGCAAGCATTGAGTTTGCAAATGGGGGGGGCTGCGCCCCCCCCAACCCCCCCGCTTTTTTAAGCCGTGCAAGCTTGCATCAAAGCATAAGAGTCTTTTTGAAACCCATGATGCAAGCATTGAGTTTTCAAATGGGGGGGGGCTGCGCCCCCCCCAACCCCCCGCTTCTGAAAGCCGTGCAAGCTTGTTTCAAAGCATATGAGTTTTTTTGAAACCTAGAGGCAAGCATTGAGTTTGCAAATAAGGGGGAGGGAGTCGGGGTGGTGAGAGTGGGGGGTGGGGGGGAGTGGGGAGGGGGGTGGGGGGGGGGGGGGGGGGGGGGGGGGGGGGGGGGG